TTAACCTTATTTTCTATGGAGACTTCCTCAAAATCTGTGTAGTTTTTTTTAAAACTGAGTTAGTCATAAATTTACAGTTCGGCATTGTAATAAAGTGTAATTTTTTTTCGACTCTACGTCGTGGATAATTTTCCAGTCAAACGAACCAATATTTTGAATAGTATACTTTAAACGACCTTTGAGTACGGCTCCTGCACTGGAAATCCAAGTGTACGAATGTCGTACACCTGCAGGTGTGTGAATGTCTGTCGCACACTTGCAGGTGAGCGAATGATCATTCGTACACTTGTAGGTGTGCGAATGACTATTCGTACACTTGCAGGTGTGTGAATGACTATTCGTACACTTGCAGGTGAGCGAATGGTCATTCGTACACATGGAAATTCGTGGCTTTTTTCAAGTGTACGACTGGTCATTCACACACCTGCAAGTGTACGAATAGTCATTCACACACCTGCAGGTGTACGAATAGTCATTCACACACCTACAAATGTACGAATTGTCATTCGCTCATCTGCAAGTGTGCGACAGACATTCGCACACCTGCAGGTGTACGACATTCGTACACTTGGATTTCCAGTGTGAATGCTGCGCTGGGCCGCAGCTCAGTAGCCTGGCGCGCCCGCCGGAGGGCGCATAGGCAACCCGCTCGCAGCGGCGCGCGCCGGGCTGCATCCGAGGGCCCCCGCCGCCGCGCCACCGCAGCGCCCCCCGCCCCCCGCCTCGGTGTGGGGTCGGCCAGAAGGAGAGCGCCGATGCCTATGCTGGCCCACGGGGCGGCCTGAAGCAAAATCCGCACGTGCAAACTAGTGGCCCTCCTGTGAGAGGTGCGCAGAGCCGAAGCTTGGAGTTCCATGGGGCTAGAGGCACCCGGTGCGAGGCTAGCCGTAGCAGAAGGCGCGCGGCAGGCGCGCTCACGATTATTGATGTCGCCAACAGATTTTGGCTTCTAGCGGGCGAGACTTGTATTCCCTAAGGTCCTGCAAGTCTAAAATTTAAGACAAGTACCGTAGAAAAGCTCTGCAAGGAGAATTGCGAAATACATATGTGTCTGAAATCTCGAGGTGGGCACTCGGGGTTATGGCTGTTCCTAGCCTCGCACATAGCGATTTCGGGAATGGCTGCGCCCACGGAACTCCAAAGCGCTCTGATTGGCTGCCGCTCGGCAAGTCTGCGCACCTCTCACAGGAGGGCCACTAGTGCAAACAACCGGGTTGGCCGGCCCGAAGGGCTTCGGGCCGCCTTCGGGCCGTCTTCGGGGTTGCTTGAAGGGTGGGGGGCAAGTTTCTCTACGGGGGCCGTCATATTCAGGGAGGGCGACCGGCTCGGCCCGACGAGCAGGGCTCGGCTGGACACATCGCCTGCTCGACTCTACCTGTCCTCGGGCAGCCACCTTCGGGGTCACCTCGGGCGAAGCAACTGCAGCTTCGGGTCAGACAACTCCCGGCTCGACTCGGCCTCCCGCGCTGTCTCGGCTGGGCTCGACTCAGGTAGCCGGCTCCTCGCAAGATTCAAAGAATCGCGCGCCCCTGCTTCCGAGTGACAGCTATGTTGTCTGTCTTTGTCCCACCAGTGAGTAGAAACGATAAGGAGAGAGAGACTATCGCTCGCCTATGCGAAGGTGTCCCACCCCCTCCCGCACTCTGCCTAGCCAATCAGCGCGCGTACTTAAACGCTCCTGGACGTTTATGCTTGACCCCTCAGCACGCTCCTCCGGTGAGCCGGGTGACCAGGGGTGCTTTTCATTCGCCGACAATAGTCGACCATGGTCAACCATAGTCGCTGCGGGTGCTTTCCATTGGGCGTGGTAACCCAACCATGGTCGACCAGACCCTACCCCGGCTGCAGGCGCGGTTAGCCGTGGTCGACCACGATCGGCAATTGTCGACCATGGTCGCTTGCGAATGAAAAGCACCCCAGATGTTGGACCCAGCACGGTTTTATTGCACCCGTGAGCGCTCTCCTTCTCTCTGGGTCGGCCTCGACGCGCGCCAAAATACAAAAAACGACGCATCAAAAAGTAAAGTGCGGAGTACAGATGACGAGAAGGCAAATTAATTGGGCGTAGCTCGTACACGATACGAGTTATCAGCGCGGTACGGTGGGCCCTGATAATGCGAGCGTGACTGGCGGC